TGTGAAGAGGTCTGCTGTTAATCTAATATTTCTCCCCATAAAAGTTAGGAATCTCTTGTCTCATGCTGCTTTAAGGATTTCCGCTTTATCTTTGGAATTTGCAAGTTTCACTATTAAATGTTGAAGTGTTGGGCGGTTCTTATTGATTTTGGGGAGGGAACCTCTCCATCTCCTGATTCTGAATGCCCGTTTCCCTTCCCAAATTAGGGAAGTTCTCAGCTATGATTTGTTCAAATATGCTTTCTGGCCCTGTCCCTCTCAGTGCCCTCTGGAACCCCAATTATACATAGATTCTTCCTTCTGAGGTTGTCATTTATTTCCCTTAACTTTTCCTCATGGTCTTTTCATTGTTTTTCTCTTTTTTCCTCAGCTTCCTTCCTTGCCACCAACTTGTCTGCTCTGTCACTCACTCTTTCCTCCACCTCATTAACCCTCGTCGTTAGGACCTCCAGTTTGGATTGCATCTCATTTAATTGATTTTTAAATTTTAACCTGATTAGATCTAAATTCTGCAGTCATGAAGTCTCTTGAATCCTTTATGCTTTTTTCCAGAGCCACCAGTAGCTTTATAATTGTGCTTCTGAATTGGCTTTCTGACATTGAATTGTAATCCAAATTCTGTAACTCTGTGGCAGAGAGTACTATTCTGCTTCTTTCTTTTGTGGTGAGTTCTTCCTTCTAGTCATTTTACTCAGTGCAGAGTGGCTGTATGAGTGGGCTAAGTCAGAATATCAACTGCGACCTAAGTAAATTTTACCCTAGATGATTCTGCGGAGGTCAGAGACCAGAAATTGAAAACAAAGATCACAACAAAATAAAAGGCTCATTAAAGTGAAAAACAAATTTTAAAACAAAGTAGTAAAAAATAAAAGGCTAAGAATCCCAAAGAAGAAGAAAAAAAAAGAAATGAGAAAAAAAAGAGAAAAAAGCAAAAGTAAAGAGAAAAAGAAAAAAAGGAGAAGAAAAAAAAAAGGGAGGTGGGACTGAGAGATGATGGTGGTGATGAAGTTGTATTGGAGGGAGAATGTAGGCTTCCTGGGGTATGAGAGGGTGATCCTCTTGGTTTTGAGTATATTAAGTTCTGTATGTTAGAAGATGTTTAGTCCCAAATTTGTATAAACCAGAAATACTTGTAGAGAGACCCATCATTGACCTCCAAAACATAAATGAGATAAAAGAGGGAGGGCAGAATAGGAATGAGGAATCTCACAGAATGAACCAGCACGGTATACCACTTGGTTCTGGGTGCATGTTGGTCATGGCTTAGAAGGAATCTCACAGAATGAACTGGCATGGTATATCACTTGGTTCTGGGTGCATGCTGGTCATGTTTTATTTTTATTTTTTATTTATTTATTTTTTAATATTTTATTTATTCATAGAGGGAGAGAGAGAGAGAGGCAGAGACACAGGCAGAGGGAGAAGCAGGCATCATGCAGAGAGCCTGACTTGGGACTCGATCCCAGGTCTCCAGGATCACACCCCAGGCTACAGGCAGCGCCAAACCGCTGCGCCACCGGGGCTGCCCCGGTCATGTTTTAGAAGATATTCCTCCATTGTAGAACAAAATGAGGCAGAGAAAACAAAAAACACAAAACAAAACAAAAAAAAACATATCTTGTATATCTCCCAAGATTAAATTGAGTATGTTGAAGGGAATCTAGAAGTGGAAAATATATCTAGTACCTGTAATTGTAGATATATGAAAGTCAAAAAGGAAGAATCTTTAAAATGAAGAGGTGGTAAAATATTGTAGTTCAGGTGGGAAAAAAAGAAAAAAAGTTGGAAATTTTTAGTCTGATATAAAAACGAGTTGTACTAGAAAAGAGGGGGGGAGTATATAGTTCCTCTGGAGCTTCCCAGCGCTGCTTGGTCAGGAACTTGATCTTCCCCTGTCCTTCCAGCTGGTCTTCTCAGGGAGGTGCCTGTTGTGCTGGTTCTCAGGTGTGTGCACCTGGGGGAGCTGCCCCCCACCTCCCCGCTGGGTGCCACCTTCAGTGGGAGCTGTTGACCCCGGAGTCCCCTGTTCTCTAGGCCCCGCCTCTCCTGGGCACAGGGTGACACCAGGAGGAACAACCCCACTGGTGGGGGCCAGCTCTCCAGCCCTGGAGTCAGCTCCCCCAGTAACTACCAGCTCCCAGACCGCAGGGGCCTAGGTGCTCCCGGGGTGACTGGGCGCTGACCTGCACAGCTCGGGGCCTGGCGGCAGGAGCGTCCTCGCTGTCCCGGGCCCTTCCCCTCCGCCTGTCCCGGGGGAGCGCAGGATCCTGGGCTGTGTCCCCCACGCCCTGGGCTCCGGGGCCTGCGCTGCTGGAATCACGCTCCCGAATGCGGCTCCCGAAGGCAGCAGGGCGCAGCCCAGTCCCCCAGAGCCCCTCCTGTCCCACTGGCTTCTCCGGGCCGCTGGGCACTCCAGCCCTTCCCTGACCCCGGTGCCCTATGTGGCCCGTGCTCCTGGGCGCCCCTCCTCTCCTAGTGACCCCGGGAGACTGGGGGCCCCACTGCCCCCCCTGAGGTTCTCCCCGATTTCCCTGCTGAGCACCTTTCCGTCTGGGAAGAATCCGGCGAATTTTTAAAGTTCCCGCGTCTCCGGGGCAGGCTTTCCTGACCTGGAGGCTCCCACTGCCCTGAGCCCGGCTCCTCACGCCCCCCCCCACTGGATTCTTTTTTATTTTAATATTTTTACACCTTCCTACCTTGTTAGAAGCACAAACCCTTCTCTCTGTATCATTCTGGCTGTTCTCTCTTTAAATCTCACCTCTAATTCATAGGTGTTCAGGGTGATTTGGAAGTTATCCAGGTAAGTTGGTGGGGCCGGGTGAGGTGAGGACCCTACTCCTCTATTTTGGTTACTATAACTTTGTAGTATAGTTTGAAACCTGGGATCTTTTTTGTTTCTTTCTCAATGTTGTTTGGCTATTTGAAGTCTTTCGTGGTTCCATACATATTTTAGAATTATTTGTGCTCGTTCTGTGAAAAACATTATTGGTATTTTGATAGGGATTATATGAATCTGTAGATTACTTTGGGCAGTATATGCATTTTAATAAGATTTTTCTAATCCATGAGCATGACATATCTTTCCATTTTTGTTGTCTTCCATTTCTTGTATTCAGACTATAGTCTGTCACCTTCCCAGTTAAACTTATTCCTAGGTATTTATTCCATTGGTGCAATTATAAATGGGGTTGCTTTCTCAATTTCTCTTTCTGATACTTTATTATTAGCATACAGAATCACAATAGGTTTCTGTATATTAATTTTGTATCCAGCAAGTTTACTAAATTCATTTGTTTTTTCCAATAATTTTGGAGTCTTTAGGGTTTTTTTAATGTATACATTTGTGTCATCTGCAAATATTGACCATTTTACTTCTTCCTTCCCAGTTTGGGTGCTTTTTATTTCTTAAACTCGTCTGATTGCTGTGACTAGGGCTTCTAGTACTGTACTAAATAAAAGTGGTGAGAATGCTCATCCTTATCTTGTTCCTGATCTTAGAGAAAAGCTTTTAGCTTTTTATCATTGAGTATAATATAATGTTAGCTGTGGGTTTTTCAGTGTGCCCTTTATTATGTTGAGGTATGTTCCTTCTAAACCAACTTTGAGGTTTTTTTTTTTTATCACAAATGGCAATTTTATTTTGTCAAATGCTTTTTCTGCATCTGTTCAGATGATCATATTGTTTTTATCCTTCTTATTGTTAATGTGATGTATCACATTTGATTGATTTGTGAATACTGTACCACCTTTATATCATTGGAATAAATCCCACTTGGTCATGGTGAATGATCTTTTCATTGTATTGTTGAGTTTGGTTTGTTAATATTTTGTTGAAGATTTTTGCATCTATGTTTATCAGAGATACTGGCCTATAGTTCTTATTTTTTTGTCTTCATCTGGTTTTGTCATCAGGGTAATGCTGGCCTTGTACAATGAATTTGGAAGTTATCCTTTTTACATTTTTTGAATAGTTGGAGAAGAATTAATATTCTTTTTAAAATGTTTATTAGAGTTCACCTGTGAAGCTGTCTGATCCTTAGCTGTTCTATATATATATTTGTTAGGTCCACATAATCTAATGTCTTGTTGAAAACCACTATTTCCTTGTTGATTTTCTCTCTGGATGACTTCTCCATTGAAGTAAGTAGAATGTTAAAGACTCCTATTATGATTGTATACTCTCAGTTTCTCCCTTTATGTCTGTTAATATTTCCTTTATGTATGTAGGTGTGAAATTAAATATTTTTAATGGATGCTCATTTATATACAAGTCTTTTTTTTTTTAAGGTTTTATTTATTCATTGAGACAGAGAGAGAGGCAGAGACACAGGCAGAGGGAGAAGCAGGCTCCATACAGGAAGCCTGACGTGGGACTTGATCCCGGGTCTCCAGGATCACACCCCAGGCTGCAGGCGGTGCTAAACCGCTGCGCCACCGGGGCTAGCCTATATACAAGTCTTGATGTCATCTTTCCTCTTTTTTCTCCATTCTCTTTTTTGCCCTGCACATTTGTTTTCTTGATTTTCACTGGTAACATATTTAGAGATGGTTGTCATACTTCTCCACATACAATGGCCATACTATGTGTGTGCGTGTGTGCCTGTATCCATCTCCAAGGAAAGGAGTATCAGATTCTCCAAATGTGGGAAGGAACCCCCAGAGTGTGTTCAGTATTGTAATTGCTTTGAATCATTTTTGTCAACATATTTAGTTTATGTTTCAATTTAAGATTTTTTTAAAAGAGCACACAGGTTTTTTGTTTATTAAAATGGCTCTATGGTTTAAAAAGGTAAGAATCTCTTATTTAAAACTGTGGCTTTAAGTGAAATTTTTTCAAGCTTATAGAACACTTTTACTTTTTAATAAAGAGTTTTTTCCAATCAAACTGAAGAGTGATTTGGCATTCTTAGTAGGAGATATGCTGTAATTGATCTGAACTAATTTTTGCAGCTTATATGAAAATACACTTATTCATTTTACTATTAATCCTTTTGCTTCAGATAAAATACCCAGGTGCTGATATGGATATCACTTTATCTGCTCCATCATTTTGCCGTCAAATCAGTCCAGAGGAGTTTGAATACCAGAGAGCGTATGGCTCTCAGGAACCTCTGGCCGCTTTGTTGGAGGAAGTCATAACAGATGCCAAACTCTCCAGCAAAGAGAAGAAGAAAAAATTGAAGCAGGTAAGAAGGATATTCTTTAGAAGTCATTTCTTCTTCTGTCTGCTGTTCTTAATATCATTTTTTTTCTTTTTGTTCTCTATTTTAATGGGTTTTGTGTGAATCTCATCTTCTGAGATGGAGTAGTTTTGAAAGTATACCATCCAGTTCATACATTCCAGAAGTCTCATTGATGTACACAGTTGTGATCAGTTTCCCACATTTTTATTCTCCAATGTAAATATTTTACCATTATTGAGTTCTTCATTTATGGAGCCCCTCTGTTATTTGTCCTTTGTTTGGTATGTGGCATGATGTGAGTTATTGGAGCAATTACTTTAAATTCAGCGAAGCTATCATATGAGGACAGATTCCTTTTGATTTTTATTTTGAAAGGCAAATTCTACTGAATTTGCAAATATAAGTGTGTAGAAATGAAAAGCCTTTGGTTTTAAAGTGCCAGTATCAAATTGGTTTCTTGCCTCAGGTGTCAGTGAAAGTTTTTAGTTCCTGCTAGGCAACAAAGCTTTGGGTTTCATTGAACAGTTTTGAACTCAAAATAGATTTACTTCAGTCATTCTTAAAGTACTGATTCAAGATTAAGGGAATGGTTTTTATCTTTCCAGACTGACTCCTGCAAGCTTGATTCCTGATCACACCATACATACGGGATTATAACACAGAGTACCAGAGTTCTAGATTCCCAATCATATTTTTCTCAGTAATTTGGAGAAGAGTTCAGTGTTGAGGATCAAAGGAAAAGCATATTGCCTCTCTTTAAGCTTCTCATAAATTAATATATACTGGAACATTTTCCCTTCCATTTGAGCAGAAGCAGGTGGAGCTGAGTTGGAGAAGCAGGGAGATCGTGAAATGTAGTTGGGCCAAAATTTTCTTTAACTGTATAGAACATAAATTATTTTTAAGTCAGAATTGTGAATGTTTTTAAAGTGAAGTGTATTTATAGTTAGCAGCGGGGGAAATTTTAAAAAATATGACCGAAATGAGAAGTTTATTTGAAGACTGGATCAAATTAAAGTTCAATTAGATCTACAGCAAGTGGAATCAAATGATCTAACAAAAAGAAATGAATTTGTGTTGCAGTGAATTTGATTATGATTTGTCATCTTATTCTCTTTTCTGATGAAGAGCGATAGACATTAAAACAAAATAAAAATATTTTAGCATGGAATCAGGCCAGAAACACTTTTATTTTAAAATTAGATCACCTGATTTTATTAGTTTTTAGCTGGTTTGTTTGTTTATTTATTTTTTACTCATCTTGTATCTTTTTTTTTTCAGTTTCAAAAATCCTATCCTGAAGTCTACCAAGAACGATTTCCTACACCAGAAAGTGAAGCACTTCTGTTTCCTGAAAAACCGAAGCCAAAACCACAGCTGTTAATGTGGGCACTAAAAAACCCTTTCCAACCATTTCAAAGAACTAGAAGTTTTCGGATGTAGTACTTCTATAGCTGTTGGAGTGCTCTGTTATTGTTGCCTTGAGCAAATGGGTGATTATAAAGAGGACTATGGCAGTGGAAGAAAGGAGCAGAAAATATAGACTACTGAAATATAAAGTGATCGGACTTCCAAAAATGTTGAGCCATTATCAGTATTTTTGTAAAACTCAGTGCTATTTTTGAAGGTGTACAAATCAATTAAAAATTTAGACAAGTATATAGCGGTAATGTTAATGTGTTTGTAATTGTTACAAAATTTAAGGGTATTTTTATTTTTTTATTTGTTGTTTCTCATAGTGTTCATAAAATAATTGTGTGTACATTTTAGTTACTGATGTCTTTGTTATAACGTCTTAAAAATAGTGTATATACTTGAATAAGAAAGACACCAGGTACTGTTACTGTGATGTTGTTGACTTCATACCTTAATAGTTGTGTTTTCTCTTGTGTAAACTCTGGTTTTCAATGTTGCACAAAGATTCTTAATGTCCTATATTATGATGGCTGTGTCTTTTATTGCAGATTTGTTGGATGTTATTACAGATATAACTAAAGCCGGTTCTTTAATAACGTATATATTAGCTGGTGTTTACCTCTAAGTGGAGTAGATTTTCATTTTCCTACAGTGGTATAATTTCAGTCTTGGCTGAAGGTGGAAAATTGATGAATAAACTTTTTTGTTTCCCTTACACCTGTGATTCTAAGTCAGATCTTTGTTATTTTGTGAAAAACAATGAATTAAGTAAAATGAGACTACTTGCTTTATATTTTCCCCAGCTTCCTCATCCTTTTGAAAGTAAATGGAATGTAAATAAATACTGTTTTTTTTTTTTTTGGTTTTTAATACTATATGTGGTTCTTTTTTGGCATTGATTTAGATTACAAAACATCCTCAAATGTTAAACCTCATTATCTTTGCCTGTGTTCGCACATCAGTCATTTATTTCTATGATAAAATAAGTGACATTTAGGCTTTTGTACTAACCTTCAGGAGGTGCTTTGTCCATTTTTTTTTTTGCTTTGCCCTTTTCCAAATAATGGTACAATTAGATTATGGAGCATCTGGAAGCCTTCTTTTGTTTGTTTTTTAAAAGATTTTATTTATTTATTAATGAGAGACACACAGAGAGAGGCAGAGACACGGGCTCCATGCAGGGAACCCGATGTGGGACTCAATCCTGGGTCTCCAGGATCACACCCTGGGCTGAAGGTGGTGCTAAACCGCTGAGCCACCAGGGCGCCCATCTGGAAGCCTTCTTTATAAGCATTAAATCTTAAGAGTAACAATCACTAATTGGCTTGTTCTGCCCTTTTAACTGAATTTTCCTTGCCTTTGTGATCTGGTCTTGTTCTTTTGTAGCAGAATGCATACTACATTTGACTCAGATTTTGTTTACCTAAAAATGGTTAAAAGTATCCCTATTACTCTGAGTACCACCTTTCCTTCCAAATATGTAAAGTAATGGTAGATTTTTTTAGTGTTTCAAGATTTGTTTTCAGAGTTTGGCATAATGTTTAGAGCAAAGAGTAAGTCTACTTCTGTTCTCTTTGCTCTCCAACACAGAATGTACTTTCCAGAGTCTCCTCTCCTATTGCTTATCTTTAGAAATGTATGTGACTGTTTTTTTTTCCCCCTAAGATTACATCTTTAAATAAGATTTATTTTTCATTTTAGAGAGAGAATACAGGTGGGGAAGGGCAGAGGGAGAGGGAGAGAGACAATCTCCAGTGGACTCCCAACTGTATGAGGAGCCTCAAGCAGGGCTCATCTCCACTACCCTGAGATCATGACCTGAGCCGAAGTCAAGATTTGGACGCTTAATTGATTAAGCCCCCCAAGTGCCCTAAGACTACTTTAAAGAAAAAAGTGTGACTCACTTATGGGAGATCAAAAACATCACCACCTAAGTATGAAACTGATGAGTGGATAATACCAGTTTTTCAAAGTGGTTGTTGTACCAGTGGATTCTCCCATTAGCTGTGTAGAAGATTTCTTTTTGCTTACTGTCCTCACCAAAAGTTGCTATTGTCAGAGTTTGAATTCTTGTCAGTTTGATGGGTATATAATGGTATCTCATTATGGTTTTATTTTGCTTTATTAATATGGCTAAGGGCAAAGAATTTTTCCATATCTTATTTGGCTTTTTCTACTTTTATTCAAATTTATTTTTATTTTATTTTTTTAAATTCAAATTTAAATACCAGCTTGTCAAGCTTCATACATGCACACACACACAGGGTGGGCTTTTGATTTTGATTGTACTGAACTTAAATCAATTTGGAAAGAATTGCTATCTTTACAATATTAAGTCTTCCAGTTGATGAACATAGTTTATTCCCTCCATTTATTTAGAATAAATGAGAAATAAATTTCTCTGTAAAGGTTTGCAAATCTTTTGTTAGCTACGTTCCTAGATATTTGATACTTAAAAAAAAGTCTCAAAATTTTCAAGTATGCACAGAGGTAAAGATAGTAGTACCATCCCTAACTTCAGTAGTTATTATTCAACTGATAAATACCTTGATGTTTGATCTTATTGTAAATGGGATTATTTCAACATTTCTACTTTCTTTTTCTTGCTCGTATATAATCCAAAACTGATTTTTGTGCACTGATTTTTTATGCCCAACCTCCTTGCAAGACTTTTTTATTAATTCTAAGCATCTAGTATGACTTTTTTTGGATTTGCTAGGTTTACTACATAATAAGTCAACAATGACAGTTTTTTGTTTTTCATCTCTGCAGTAGACAGCATTTAAAATATCCCCACTGATTCCCAATGTGGTATTTGTCCCAATGTGTAATCTTTCCTTGAATGTAGGTTGGATCTGGTGACGCATTTCTAACAAATAGAAAATGGCAAAAGTGATAGGATATCTCTTTTGAGATTAGATTACAAAAAGACTCTGGTTTCCATCTTGCTTCTCCTTTCACTCTCTTCCAGGCCTGTTTTGAGGAAAGCCAGCTGCCCTGTGTGAGCTGCCCTACCAACAGGCCCATCGGGCAAGGAACTCATGTCTCTGCTCACTAGCTAGTGAGGACACGAGGCCTGCCAACAGCTCTATGAGTGATCTTGGAAGTGGATGTTCTGAGGCCTGCCAGGAGCCACAAGAGTGATCTTGGAAGCATATTCTCTCAGTGAAGCCTTGAGGTGAAGGCAGCCTTCACTAACACCTTGACTGCAGCCTGGGACAGGCCCTGAGCCAAAGGACTCAACTAAACTGTGCCTGGATTCTAGACCCACAGAAACTGTGAGATATAAACATTTATTGTTTCTAGCCACTTAATTTTGGGGTAATTAGTTATGAGGTGATAGATACGATATGCCTTCTAATCCTTACTCCCTCCCACTCTCCTTCCTTCCCTCTGGCCCTCCTTTCTTCCTTCTCTCATTTTTAAAATTACATCCAGCTCCCTGCTTAGTCTCTCTTTATCTCTGGTAATGCATTTGTTTACAGTCTTCGTATTATATTTCAGTCATGCCCCTTATAAACAGCATATAGTTGGATTATTTATTTTTTAAAAGATGCCAACCTGACAGTTTTTGTTTCTAACTAACATTTAGACAAATTTTATTTAATATAATTGCTCTCTATTTGGGTACAAATATTTATTGATGCTTTCTAGCTCTTAGTCTCTACTTTCTTGACTTTGACTTTCACAAATTATTTCATGTTTTCTCCTAATTTGAAACTAAATACTGTAATCTTTTTGTTGGGTCCTTGGAATTACATCTTACATACTAATTTATCAAGGCTTAAAGTTAGTAAATACCTTTTACTCTCTCACACTGTTCAGGGACCTTAAGGGACTAATGACACCCTCCTAAATCAGGTAGTATTCTATGATGTATTTTAATTGTATTGTTTTTAAACCTCATACTATGTTGTTTTTCTGTATGGTTCTTGTTTGTTAGAGTCACCCATATTTTACCACATTTTTCCTTCTTAGAGTATATTCTTTAGAATTTATCTTTAGTATGTACTGGATTTTGACTGGAAACTTTTAGATTTTGCCCTTACTCTTTTTTTAAAATAGCTTTATTGAAATGTAGTTCACACACCATACAATTTACCCATTTAAAGTGTATATAATTCAGTGGGTTTTGGTAGGTTACATTTTTAATTTTTTTAAGTTTTGATTAAATACATATAACAAAATTTCCCTTTTTAATAATTTTTAAATATATAATTTTACATCAAGAATGCCCTCAATTCTTTAAAGATGTCTCTGCTGCTTATAGAGTTCTAGGTTGAAGGTTATTATATTTCAATATGTTGTAGTTATTCCTTTGTTAGCTGGCTTCCACTGCTACTGAGGAGAAGTCAATTGCCACTCTTTATAGATGACATGTCACGTTACAGCAGGTGCTTTTTAAGATTTTGTCTTTGCTTTGGTGGTCTGCAGTTTACACTGACATATCTAGTTGATATAAGGTACTTTTAAAATGATTGTTCTGCTTGGTATTTGTGGGGTTTCTTAAATAAGAGGATCAAGGTCTTTTACCATTTATTTTTTATTATTTAAAATATTTATGAATTTATTTACAATGAGAAAGTGAAGGGGGAGGGGCAGATGGAGAGGGAAAGAGAGAAAGGATAGTAAGTAGACTCCCTGCTGAGCAGTGCAAGGGCTCCATCTCACAACCCTGAGATCATAACCTGAGCAGAAGAAATCAAGAGTCAGCAGCTTAGCCGACTGAGCCCCCCATGCACCCCTATTTTACCATTTTAAATACTGCCTTTGTCATAATTTCTCCTCTGCTTTTGATTCTTTTTTAGTTTTTAAATATTTTATTTATTTAGAGAGAAAGAGCAAAGTAAGAGAGAGCACAAGCTGGGGCAGGGGCAGTGGGACGGGGAGAAGCAGACTCCCCGCTAAGCAGGGAGCCTGACTCAATCCCAGGACCCTGGGATCATGACCTGAACTGAAGGCAGATGCTTAAACTACTGAGCCACCAGGTATCCCTACAGCACATTTTCAAGATTGAGTATATCTCAGGTATGAAAATGGTAATGGGATTCAGCCGCTCTTCATTCGGATTTCTCCTGCATCTTTGTGTTCCTCTGTCTGCCTTAGGGAAGTCATACCTGGGCTCTAGCAAACATAGTAGATGTATCTGTCATGACTTAGCATTTGTGTTATTCGGGAGCTCGATTCTGATTCCCACACCCAGGAGAGAGTTTCCGTACATTTTTATAAGAAATTGTTATAAGAGCCAGTATCTGTGAACCATTGATGGTCAAGAAGAGGAAATGGAATGTTACTGTGTTTAGAATGTCACAAAATCTTCTATCATGATTGAAAGAGAAATCAATTAACATGGCTCTTCACTATATGAGTGTGGCTGAATCTTTACATTATTATTTTACCTTTACCCTGAAGAACAAAACTGATAAAAGTCAAAGTTCTGGAGTAAAGTAAGAGTGTTCTATCTACTAAAATCAGTATTAAGAGTCAATTCAACTGTATGCTTATCCATCATCATAATATTTGCCCAAATTTGAAGTGTTTACCTCAACATGAGACACTGTAAATTCTAATTTTGTGGCATTTGGAATCCTTTTACACTTGCATTTTCTTGCTAAAGACAATATAACCTGCAAAAAGTATAACATCTTAGGGTCCCTGTGTGGCTCAGTTGGTTAAGTGGCTGCCTTCGCCTCAGGGCATGATCTCTGAGTCCTG